CTTCATAACTAATAAGAATGTGTGGAGAATTCTATTTTTGATTTATGAATATCTCTTTGTCATTCAAAATATTATTATGTACTAATGTGATTGTATGTTTCTCAATGGGTCATAAGTATTGTGATTATTAATATTTTAGTACTCCAAATTCTCCATATTAGTCTCATTGATGTCCCTTGAAGATTGGTTTATGCTTTATTTTGCTATGAACCCCCTTAATATTTGGTTGTATCTTGCGTTTCAGGATAGTTCTGGATTCTGCTTTTTCTATCCAAGACTTTCTGAATAACACATTATCCAAATTTATGATTCCCATTATTAAAGAGTAGTATTTAGGAACTATGGACACTTTTTGAGACTGGAGTGAATTTTTCAAGACTATAAGTGTCATTCATTTATTACCCCATCACTGTATCCACACACAGAGAAACATGCTCATGTTCTATCTAAAAAATCCATTGGTTCACATTCTCAAATTTAATTACATTCTAAAACACAGAGTTTGCTTACATATTCTCCTGTCAAATCAGCCACTTCTTTTTTCAACAGTACATCTCTTACATCTAATAGCAATCCATTAATTTACTTTTTTGAACCATACCTCTTTTTAAAACCAATCTCTAGGGGTCATCTTTGTGGATAACTACAGACCTGATGAGGGCAGAATACACAGAAAAGATCATAGAATTGGGGTAAGAATGAGGATGTGAAGGAGAGGACCTCCTCCTTTGAAGACACTGGGTTCTGAGGCCACAGAGAGTGGGAGTCATAACCTGAGGATCCAGGGGACATAAGCCATGGATATGTGCAATCAAGCAGAGCCAGGAAGAGAGATGGTGCCCTTCAAGTGGGAGGTGAGGAAATCCTGACCTGGGCTGATCTTGATCAACTCAGTGGACAGGGCAGGGTCAAACAGAGGGAGAGAGTTGGTGCAGCTAGAGATGGAAGATGGGCGAGGACAGGTGGTGCCCTTCCTATAAATCAAGACCCAAAGTTTTTTGTATTGCTGGTCTTTTTCACATCTAGATCACAAATGAATCAGAGCACAGAATTGGCCATTCTGGCCACAAAAACAGTGATACATTCAACATCCAAGAAGCTTGTAAACTTCCCACACTTTCTGGGATTTTGACCTAAACCACAGCCTCTGTCATGGATGGAACAAAGCATGAACAAAACCTAAATGTTATCAAATAGTGCACTACATAAAGGACTTGAGATTGACACTGTCTTTGGCCCCAGAAAGCAGAACATTTTCTTTCAGCAATTCTGAGCTTCCCTGTATAACCTGAGTCTCAACATCCTGGAGACTGTGCTGAGTGACTGGAGGAACTAGCCCTGTAGTTGTGCCCAGCCTGCCAAGCCCTGCTGATTTGCATGTGCCCACAGCACAGCCCACTCTCTTGAGAACTTCTTAAGAGGCTGCTCACACCCTGTGCAGGAGTCAGTCCCTGTCAGGACACAACATGGCCATGAGGGCCCCTGCTCAGCTTCTGGGGCTCCTGCTGCTCTGCCTCCCAGGTAAGGAGAGACAGCACTGTGGATGTCCTCAACACAGTGTGGTCAGTGCTGCCTGGATCTGCAGGGAAGTCCTCTTGTGAAATGAATAATTCTGTGGCTATTTGCTTTTGTTTCTAATGTCAGGTGTCAGATGTGACATTCACATGACCCAGTCTCCATCATCTCTTTCTGTATCTCCAGGAGATAGAGTCACCATTGCCTGCAGGGAAGATCAGGATATTAGCTATTATTTAGCCTGCTGTCAGCAGAGACCAGG